TTTGTGGCGGTCAACACTACAGCAGTCGGCGAAATAACGGGGACTGGCAGAGGGCGAAGCTTTGACGGCGGTCCGGCTGCGGCGGGAGAGCACCGTCGTTTTCTTGACATTGTTAGGCAGACTTCTGATGATCAGGCTTCAGCGTGATCTTGGGTCGCGGGCCACGGGGGGGCGGCGGTCTGCGGCGGCTGTCAGAGCGAGAGCGAGGGCGAGGGCGGCCGCTCTGACTGCGCTGAGTTGTTTGAGTCTGCGGAGGGGGGCGCTGTGATGGGGCTCTGGCGGAGGGCTCGTGAGAGCGGCCCGCTGAAGAGCTAGCGCGGCGGGGTAGAAACAAGTTCATCGCCTGAGAAGCTTTCTGTACTTCAGAAAAGCGATCGACAATTCCCGTGACGGCAGATCCAAACAGGCCCGTCGGGGAGAGGGGCGCGTTGAGAAACGCGGCGCGCTCAGAATCTCCCATGTCGGCGAGCGTGAGCCATAAGTGTCTCTCAGCAACACAAAGGCTGGCCATGCATTTCCCCAGAGCTTGTGCGGCGGCTTTAGTGGCGCGAAGGGCGAGATCCGTAGCACTTCTCAAATCCGTGACGGCGGGGGGGGGTTTTCTACCGCCTTCGGCCCATTCACGGAGAATATCGCTCTGTAACACTTGGAGGACAGACATAGAGTGAAGCGCAGCGGCGGCCTGACCGGCGGCGGCGTAAGCGCGAGCATGAAAGCTCGAGGTCGCTCTGCAAGCCTTCGAAGGAAGCGTGGGTGAAGAACGCCATCTAGCGGAGGGCGGGCAGAGGTGTGTGGCGACCAAGTCCTCGACGGGCGGCATGGCTGCATAGCCTTTCTCGGCGGCTCCGTCCACCGAGCGCAGCGAGGCGGATACATCGGAGCGATTTCTAGCCGAGAGCGGTGCATTCCAGGATTTTGTCAGCTCTGCGTGAAGTTCAGGCAGGAATGGAGCGGCCCGGGTGCACGCGGGGGTCGAGCGCCGATGAAAAAAGCTACCGTCCATTCGGTTCGGGGCCTGCTCGGGTGGAGGAGACCACTCGAGACCGAGGCGTTCGACGGCCTGTGAGAGGAGGCGCATCAGCTCCTCTTCTATCCCGGCGCGGGTCCCCGTCGACTCTCTCGCGGATCCGAGAGATGCCTAGTCTTCACTGTCAGAACCGAGCAGTGAACAGGAGTCCTTCTCCTCCGCGGCGTCATCGGAAACAACAGAGCGGCCACTCGGCGGCAACTGAATGTCCGGCAGGGGCGGGGAGGGAGAGCGGGAAGCGGGAGGCGGCGGCGGCGGCCCGCATGTTTCCGCTGGGGGCTCCGGCGGCCTTTGAGAGCGGCGTTTCTTTTTACGCGGCGAGAGAATAGGCGGCGCGGGAGCGGTTTTCACTGCCAGAAGTCGTGCCCGCAGGGACGATAACGGCAGGCTTTCACAGAGGTCGCATCCTCCATCAGCGAGGGCGAGTTCTGCATGCTCGAGTCCCAAGCAGAGAGCGCAGATGACATGGCGGTCTCCGTCCTCGAGACGAGCGCGGCAAGAGCCGCAGGAAAAACGAGACATCTTTAAAAAGACGCTCGGCTCTTTTAGAAATAGAGAAAGGATACAATCGTCGGATGGCCTAGCTTGCTGGGCGGCTGAAGGTGGCGAAGACGGCCGGCTTCTTCAGGGTCCTTGAGCTCGCTAGAGGATGCCTTCTTCGACGGCGATGGCTTTTCTCAGGAACAGCAGAAGCGTGCAGCTTGCTGAAGATGAAATGAATCAACATATAAGCCTGGGAGAGCGCCTTATATACACCATGGCCACGCCCATTCTGGCGGGTCATGACGCAATGAGCGCGCGGGCGCCTCTCATTGGAAGCGGGTTCAGCCCCGCTCTCCCATAGGCTTAAGCAGTTCTCTCTGAGCGAACCAATGAGCTGCTAGCTAGCCCGCTCTAGGTCTGCCGCAGAGGAACTGCGTTGTGTATGGATACAAAATTATGAAATAATTTTTTGGCTTCAATATCTCAGCAAAGATGAATCTTTCCCGCAGCGTAAGCTAGCTTACGCAATACGAGAGAACCTCTCGTAAGAGAACCTATAGGTTCATCATAAGGTTGAGCAGATTGTGAGTAGATGTTTTTAATTTAAAGGTGAACTATTGTATTAATGAAATCTCATTACACTGATCCCACCTCACAAGTGATGTACAATGACCTTTTAGAATATGTTGGTCAATAGATTGTTCATCTCAAAAACATCACATTATCAGCTATGATCAGTTTATGAAATCTGAATGATATGCAGATAAAGATAAGCTGTATCAGACAATGGTGAGGTCAGCATTTGAACATATTCACAGCTGCTGATGGGGGTGGTCCGAACAGCTGCAGGGTTTGAGATATCACCAACAGGCGACATACGGGATGGGTGGACAACATTCTGCATTTCTGCACTCTTATTACTCCAAATATTTCAACATACTATTTCATCCAGTATGAATGAAGCGAAGTTCTATAAAAGCAAATTCTTATTTAATGGCTTTCAAATGGGATAATATCTGGGGCCAGTTTCACAAAAAGCTAAGACTAGTCTTAAAAGTTAGTCATCACATTTTTTCTTTAAGACTGTTCATAACTGTTTTAAGTCAGTTACATAAAAATTTGATAGAATGTAAGACTGATTGCCCCTTGACTAACCTAGTTGGTCATACTAGTACTAGTAAGACACAACATAATAGCTATGTTTATGCAACATGGCCCCTGTACTCATATGGTTGCCTATTACTAAAGACTAAAAAGCTCATATATAAAAAAACAGTAACCCTAATTAAAATTCAGTGAGAAACTTATTTTGCATCGACTACAGAATGACACATCAAATAATCCAGCTTGATTTGAGGAAAGGTGAGCTAATATTTTTTTTTTTAAACTATTACTTCAAATTTTGTCCAATGTAAAAATGGGTGTAAACTTTTCACAGACTTACATTAAGGGAGGGACTGGAGTCAGACTTGAGGGTGGCTCGTTACCACCTAGCAACCACCCTAGCAACTGAAGAGCATCACACTCAATATCACCCAGCAACCGCATAGCAATGACCTAGCAACCACCTACAACAAATATGCAAAAACACATAATTTCAAATTTCAGATATGAAAATGTCTAAATACAGCCCTGAATGTAACTAAATAAATAATGCAAATTCAACACAGTTAAAAATACCTATTGTGGATCTTATTTTAAAGTTTTGTTTTTTTTAATTGAAGATTTATAGTATATTTATTCATAATTATCATTAAAAATCTTTAGCATGTACACATAGACTACCATTCAAAAGTTTGGGGTCAGTAAAATTTGTTTCAAATAAATATACTTTTATTCAGCAAGGACAAGTTAAATTGATAAAAGTTACACTTATAATGTTACAAAAGATTTCTGTTTCAAATAAATGTTGATCTTTTGAACTTTCTATTCATCAAAGAAACAATGAAAAACTAAAAAATGTATCTCGGTTTTGATAAAAAATATTAAGCAGTTTTCAACATTGATAATAATAAGAAATGTCTCTTCCGCAGAATATCATCATATTAAAATGATTTCTGAAGGATCATGTGACACTGAAGACATTTTACAATTTATTAACTTAGAAAACACTTATTTTAAATTGTAATAATATTTCACAATATGACTGTTTTTACTGTATTTTTTTATTAAATAATCGCAGCCTTGGTGAGCAGACGAGGCCTTTCAAAAACATTAAAAGTCTGTGTATATTAGCGTGTTGCAAACATTGTAAAATCATAATCGAATAATCTTATAACATCATAATCTAAAAAAGGTATCAAACAGAAAATAAACAGCCCTGATGAACCATTTTATGCATAATGTTGACCTTGACCAGAGGTCACTCCCTGAAGCTACAGAGGACAGTTTCAAGTCATGAGCGTCTGAAATCCCCGCATAGATTTTGGCATTGTTCAGATGAGCACAGACCTCCACACCCTCCTCTAGTCCCACAACAGCTGCTCATTACACCACTGACCCAGGATCAGCTGAAGCACATCCCTCCCAGCATCATGTTCACCGTCCAGCAGGTCCAGGATCAGCTGCTGAGGGATCAAGGGTTTGGAGCTCAGCTGTGTGTGCTCTGACTTTCAGCTGTTCAGACGTGAGTGAGTCAGACCGAGAGAGGATCTACGCTTCTGAGAATGCTTTGATTCGTTCAGATCACTGCAGACATGTCTGCTAGAAGTTCAAAAGCTACTAGACATGGTTTTATTAAAGTGATACACATTTAGAAAACCCTTAAAGGGATAATCCACCGACTATGTTATTCCCTTAACTAAGACGAGTTGATGCATACCTCTCTCGTCTCAGTGCGTGCGCTCAATCGCTCTGTCTTGCGGAGACACTTTGTTAGCACTTAGCCCAGTTCATTTATTAGGATCCAAACAGAGAAGCGACCAAACACCTCCACGTTTTCCCTATTTAAATACAGTAACACGAGTAGTGTAACTCGACCAAGAATGGTGACACAAAATAAAACATTGCACTTTTCTAAGCGTGTAAAGTGGATAACTATAATGTATGGCGGAATACCACAGCAAGTGCTTGGGAGCACTTCGACTCGGCGCAGTAATATCATCACTCGTGAAAAATCCTCTCCCCCTCTCCTTCTGCAGAGTGATGATATTACTGCGCCGAGTCCATAGATATATATGCGCCGGCCGAGTCGAAGTGCTCCCAAGCACTTGCTGTAGTATTCCGCCATACATTATAGTTATCCATTTTACACTCTTAGAAAAGTGCAATGTTTTATTTATTTAGAGCGATTGAGTGCACGCACTGAGACGAGAGAGGTATGTATCAACTCGTCTTAGTTAAGGGAATAACATCGTTTAATATGAAAAAAAACGGTGGAGTATCCCTTTAACCTGTCATAGTAAAAATTTGATATAATAATTCATAATAAGGAAAAAGAAGAAATAATAATCTTACTGGGGCTGACATTTTATGTAGAGACATTTTTAGGGAAATAAGAGCACATAAATACTTCAAATCCTTAAGTAAATTCTTTACTAAGGCTGTTTAAGCAGGAATCCATATTTTTGCAGGATTATACAAGAACGATGCCTTTGAAAGGACTGTGGGTTCATAGAAACCTGGGAAGAGGAAATTTAGGATATTCAGTAAATCGTTCCATGATCAAAAGTTTAAACTCTTTAGCCAACTCCAGCTAAATTAAGTAAAAGCCTGATTTTTCAATGAAGCAGAGATGATGTTACCTGGACCAGGTGTGTCCTGTCCTTTGTCCTCCTGTATCCACCTGCATGTTCCCGACAGGAAGGCGGCGCTGGACACAAGGTGTTTGGCTGAAGGATTGTTGTTCACTATGTCAAAGTGTCCCGGGCCAGGGAAGGGTGGGTCTTTGGCGGGTATCAGAGGTGGCGCTGATAATCCTAAGTAGTGTCTCCTTCTGCATAGCGATAAAACTTTGATCATTGTATGTGACAAACATAAAACAGCTTAATCCAGTGTGAAGAATGAGACATCTGAGATATCATGATTATCATGATGAAAACTAGTTAATGATAAAAGCAGCTGTTTTATGTCAAATATATTCAAAAGTAGCTGTGTATTCTGATGAAATTCTTTGCAAGCAATATTTAAATGGCCAAAAAATCATTCTATAATAGTAGACGGTCCACCAGTGCATTGTTGCTCTTAAAGGGATAGTTCACACAAAAATGGAAATTCTCTCATCATTTACTCATACTCAAGTTGTTCCAAACCTGTATGAGTTTCTTTCTTCTGTTGAACACAAAAGAAGATATGTTGAAGAATGTCAGTAACTAAACAGTTGATGGACCCCACTGACTTTCATAGTTTGGGAAAAAAAATACTATGGAAGTCAATGGGGTCCATCAACTGTTTGGTTACCAACATTCTTCAACATATCTGGAAACACTTTATTTTAGGGTTCAATTATCACTATTAATTAGTTGCTCATTAGCATGCATGCTACTAGGATGCTGACTGTTTATTAGTACTTATAAAGCACATATTAATGCCTTTTTCTGCATGACCTTATTCTACATCCCATAATCCTACCCAATACCTAAACTTAAATGCTACAAAAACTTCCTTACTAACTATCCTATTAATAATTAATAAATCAGGAGTTTATTGAGGCAAAAGTCATATAGTGAATATGTGTTCCCCATACTAAAGTGTTAGCAAATATCTTCTTTCGTGTTCAGCAGAAGAAAGAAATTTACACAGGTTGGGAACAAAATGAGGGTGAGTAAATGACAGAATTTTCATTTTTGGGTGAACTGTCCCTTTAAGAGCATAAAATAAAATGTATTTGATTGGTATAAGTTTAATGCAGTCCAGTTGTGACTGACGACCTACGGAAGAACGGTTCTCTTCACGGGTTCTGGTGGTTGATAGGGGTTGTAGGTCCCGGGACCGGGGTTGTTGTTTCTCACGGGCGGCTGGATCCGGGCAGTGGTGGATTTAAAACAGGAGATAGGAACTAGAGGAGTCTTCTGGACCAAAACATCACTCACTTTATAGTGGCCTTTAGAAGAAGGATAGAGATAGAAAGATACATAATCTGAAATATCTTTCGGTTGTTTGACAGTCGATAGCTTTAAACATGAACATATGAATAAATAGATTAATAGTTTTACAATATTTGATTGTGATTACAGCAGGACATATCTCTTATTTTCCAATGAATACTTTGAATACTCATTTCACTACTGAATTTAAAATACAACCCATAATTCCAACCGTACAGTGGCTGTTATTACATGCACATGCAAAGGAACATTCACACCCTTGAAAAGCTGACAACACTCACTAATATTCATATATGCTTTCAAATATAATGTTGTTTTTAACCTCAGATTTAATTACTGAATTGTTGACAATTTTAACAGTTTGGATTGCACCTTTAACTTAATTATTCCCATCTAAAATGGGAGTTACTCACAGGGAGAAGGTCCTTTAAAGTTGTCCGTTAAAGTTGCACCACGTCTGGTTTTGGAGCGAAATGCACATTGAGCCGAAACGGTTGAATTTCTGTACACGACATTATAAAACACCTGAGAGCAAAAAAGTTACAAATAAAAATAAAATAAATTTCCATTCAAAAGTTGAGACAGTAAGATATTTTAAATAATGTAATATTTCTATTTAGCAAGGACACATTAAATTGATCAAAAGTCACTGCAAAGATGTTTAAAAGGTTACAAAAGATTCTATTCCAAATAAATGATGTTCTTTTGAACTTTCTATTCATTAGAAAGCAGAGAAGAGTCCTGAAAAAAAAATGCATCATGGTTTCCACAAAAATATGAATCAGCACAACTGTTTTTTAACATTATTAATAATAAATGTTTCTTGAGCAGTAAATTAGCATATTAGAATGATTTCTGAAGGATCATGTGACACTGAAGACTGGAGTAATTGCTAAAGTAATATTTACTGTAATCAATGATACTACATACATCATATTGATTTGGGGCAGGATTTTCACTTTTTTGCGTTTCCCTCTTTACTGCAAGAGGCAGACGGAACGTTCTGGATTCTCCTCTGTTGAAGTCGTGCTTGAGAAGTAGAGACGTCTGGAGGTTATAAGCATCAGGTCCTGGGTGTAACCTCGGGAAGCTACGGGGCACACGACCAGCCTTGAGATGCAAAAACAGTCAGGGATATTATTCATTAAATTCATTATATCTTATTTCAAAGAGTTGCAAGGAATTAACCTATTAAACAATATAAAATGCCTAATGTCTAAAAAAATAAAAGTAGCCTATATTTGGAATGTTTAAGACCCAAGACCTTATATAATAACAAAACAGACTCCACAAGCATTGATTAATGTAAGAAAAGCCAGTGATTAAATTGTCTGATGATCAGGGTCTCACTTTTGACGCAAAGCTGCCTGTTCCTCTCATAGAGAATGAAGGACTGCATCCCTCAGCAGCTGTGTGTGAGACATATGTACCAGGACCTGGATTCTCATTCTGAAATGACAGACAGACAGACAGACAGACAGACAGATAGTGATATTTTAATTGAATTTTTTATTTTTATTTTTAATTGAATGTGGGAGAGTTGGATTATTTATGAAACTCACCAGGTGATCCTGAAACCTTTTTGTCTGTGAGGAAAAGCCTTTCTTCTCTTCATTACTGATGATGACTGTCTGGTACTTGGTTGGAATGGATGAAGCACATCCCTGACCTACTATAGAAACAGATACATGACTGTTAATACGAACAAATACAGAAAAATAAAAACTATTTAGCAGATCTAATGACACTAACGTTAGAGGTAAATCAATCACTCACATTCATTCAGTCCTTTGTGTAATTTAACGTTACCCATGCCTTTCTTTCCCTAATCATGAAGTTCTCTATGTGTAGAGGGAGAAAGAAAACGATAAACAAAAAAAAGTATTTATTTAATAATCACCAGTCGGTTTAAACATCGAGAGAAAAGCCTGTGCTCTTGTTTTCATGATGTTGTAGGTGAACTCGCTCAAAAGTTTCTGTCGGATTTACTCTTTGTTGCCATGGCAACATGTAAACGTCACGCTGTGGGTTCAGCATTTCTTATTGCAAACGCATAACAAACAAAACAAATACTCGAAACTATCTAAAAATTAAAATATCCAACTATTTTAAATAATTTATAAAATTCTTAAATTTTACGACCCCATTAGGTGTAAAAGGATATTCATATGAATAAAATAATTTATTAATATGCTAGTTTTTCTTAATTTCGTTACATTGTCCTCCCTAAATCTTATCCCAAAGGCAGGCTTTTACATTTAGTAAACGCAAGGCTATAGTTGCTTTTATAACAAACACTCTGTCGCCGCTTGGTGGCTACTACTGGATATGACGGGAAAGTCAAAAAAGCGGGAGAAAGCGCGAGATCTTGTTGTGCGGGGCGAACACGCGAGCTCAATGTTATTTAGCTAAATACATAGAAATGTAATATTGACTAGAAAGAAAAACAACGCAAAATGAAAATATCACGAAGGCGTGGCTTACCCGTTAGTGTCCGTGTTTCATTGGTCAAAGAGGAACGTCACATGGAAACGCCCACGACATCTGATAAATGTTATATTTCTTAGATATTATAATTGACATTATTATTAGCGATTCAATTGTCTAAACCCACTGTCAGAATATTATTATTACATTTCCCTGATCGTACCCAACCAAAAAGGCCTAAATAACTTAAATTTAGAGGGATGACGACGGTAAACAAACCTCTTCAGTTAAAGTTAATCACATGCCTTATGATTTAATCGAAAACTGCTATTTTAAAAAAATCAAATAAGAAAATCCTGGAGGAACTACTACAGGTTTGGAGGTTTTTTTTATTCGAATTCTGCTCTGGAGGGGAGCGAGCGTCCCCTGTCGGACTGGAGGACAAGTGAAGTTCTGCAGTCGAAGGATCCGCTTCAGCTCTTCTCGGTCATTGAGCAGTTCAGTTCCATCATGGCGATGCACGCCAAAGCGACTCCACCGCAGATCCCCGATACCCGCCGCGAGCTTTCCGAGCTGGTCAAAAGAAAACAAGAGCTTGCAGTAATTATACACGTTTCTAAATATTCAAAAGACCAAAATCGATCTTGATCCGGCACCAAGTAATGCGTATATTGACTGGAATACCCGTATCTGTGATGATAAGGATGCTAACGCGAGACTGAAATAGACTTGTACAGATACATTATTTAAAATTAATGCATGTGTGTTTGTATTTAATAATCAGATAGTCTTCGATTATATATGTACTTCATATTTCAAAACGACTCTTCCATTTTGTAATTACTGTATCTCTTGTATATTTATGTTAACATGCTAACTGTATTAGCCGCTTTTGTTATGGCGCCTCCTGATGCACAACATACTGCAGATATACAACATTAAAGACATGCCACTTGTGCATAGCTTAAGGTTTACTTTGTACAATTTCAAAAATATGTGAAGAACGTAGAACTGCACAGTGAAAGTAATATTATTACCATGTGATCATGTGTAACGTTAGGTCATGAATGGTTGACAGCTGCAGCTAAAATTATTAACGGCAATTTTGCTGACTTTGTTTTAAGCATAATGCTAAAATGAACACTTTGTACAGAATATATATATACAGATTTTGCATGTATTTTTCTCAGGAGACTCTGGTGAATCTGGAAAGACAGATTTATGCATTTGAAGGAAGTTACCTGGAGGACACTCAGATGTACGGGAACATCATTCGAGGATGGGACCGATATCTGACCAATCAAAAGTGAGTGTAAAGTGACATCATGTGGTTTAATGATGTATAAATCTTAAAGGCGTAAAGGTCAGCATCAGCTTTCTTCTGCTTTAGGAATTCCAACAGCAAGACTGATCGGAGGAACAGGAAGTTCAAGGAAGCGGAACGTCTTTTCAGCAAGTCCTCTGTCACATCGGTGGCGGTCAGTATTATAGAAATATATAATAAGAAATAATGATTAATAATGATGAAATGATGCTGAAAGAAGATTGTCTTTCAGGCTGTTTGTGCTCTTGGAGGGATTCCTGATCATATGAATGAAAAACGTGAGTAGAATCTCAAGCTTCTTGTGTCTGCAAGACATTTCAGTCAATCATGTATCTCCATTCATTGTTAAATGGACTGTGTTTTCAAACCTAGTGAGCTGTCTGTGTAGGCATTTCTCTCCCTCATAGGCTCATCGTCTACCTATTTTATTTTTGGGAATTGTCAAATGAACATTCAGAATGTGCATGTGAAGTCCAGAAATGCTGTCTAGGTTGGCAGCTCACAAAGTTAAAGGATTAGTTCACCTCAAAATTAAAATTTCCTGATAATTTACTCACCCCAATGCCATCCAAGATGTTCATGTCTTTCTTTCTTCAGTGGAAAAGAAATTAAGTTTTTTGAGGAAAACATTTCAGGATTTTTCTCCACACAATGGACTTGAATTGCAACCAACGTTTTGAAGTCCAAATCAATGCAGTTTCAGAGGGCTATGAAGAGCTTCATACGGCTCTGCACGATACCAGCTGAAGAATAGTGTCTTATCTAGCGAAACGATCTGTCATTTTCTAAAAAAAAATAAACATTTATATACTTTTTAACCACAATTGTTCGTCTGCGATGCGCCAGGGATTACGTCATCACGTTGGAAACGTCACGCGTCACGTCATCTATCTAAGTTATTTGTCTGGTTAAAAAAGCCAGGAAAGGGCGAAAAATTCCATCTAATTTTCTACGTGACGTTTCCAACGTGATAACGTAATCCCTGGCGCGTCGCAGACCAGCACAAGACGAACAATTGTGGTTAAAAAGTATATAAATGAAATTATTATTATTTATTTTTTTTGAAAATATTCCTCAGCTGGGATCGTGCAGAGCTGTTTGAATCCCTTCAAAGCCCTTTGAAACTGCATTGATTTGGACTTCAAAACGTTGGTTGCAATTCAAGTCCATTGTGTGGAGAAAAATCCTGAAATGTTTTCCTCAAAAAAAACTTAATTTCTTTGCCACTGAAGAAAGAAAGACATTAACATCTTGGATGGCATTGGCGAGAGTAAATTATCAGGAAATTTTCATTTTGAGGTGAACTAATCCTTTAAATGGTGTGTTCAACTTGCTTTCGAATCGCTCTCGCAGTAATTAGATGTCATACACCGATTGGTCTGCACAAGCAAGTGTGGGTCTCTGCACTGCAGTTTGGAGTACTGGGCCAAAACCTACTTTTGAAAGGTAGAGGTGTAAAGAAAGGTCTTTATCATTGGTCAAGAAAGCTGTTTGTCAGAGTGTGGGTTAGGGGTTAGTTTCTGTTACAGCAATTCAGCGTTTCACGTCGAACACTCCTAGAGGTACACTATGGAACTTTTGACCATCCAGCGGTTAAAAAACGAAACTGGATGCGTTTTGCTGAAGAACATTGTTTTGGTTGTGCTTCGGCTCTGTGTGACTGTGCGAATGAATATGGATATTCTACTGCTCATAAAACATAAAAAAGCTTCATGAGAAAAATGTGCTGCTTACTTGATACACGCTTTGAAGCTTCAGTGTCAAATGTAACATCACTACCTTAAAGAGAAATAGCCAATTTGACGATTATTTTACAAGATTGGTAAGTTACTTTGATTCAGTGTATTTAGTGGCCTGATGTGTCAATCACTTTATGTCTGTAAACTTTCCTTTTCCTCTACTCTTATAGGCGAGCCAGGCAGCGGAACAGAGAGCGACACGTCCCCGGACCTCCAGAACCAGGAAAACGAACCCAGCCAGGAAGACACAGAGGAGGCAGACGGAGCCCTACAGGACCTGAAACCCCAGAAAGCTGCTTCGTCTTCCTCTGGAAGCCACCACAACAGCCACAAGAAACGCAAGAACAAGAACAGACACAGGTACCTGATCTCCAGCATGCCCTTGAGGTCCAGGATATAAGATGGTGATTTATTTATGACCTCATGTCGGCTGATCCAGTGCTATTTCAAAACAGGCTGTGAAATGTTTGATGTAATGTCTTTTGGACACATCTGAGTGGATGTGGGCGCAGTTATAAATTGACATATTCACAGATGATTATGATAGCCACGCCTCTTTTCCCAAACGGGAGGAGTTTACTTCAGGTTCATTTTTGTTCTTTCCTTTCTGTTCTTTTACTTTTGTTCTTTCCTCTCTTATGGATTTGGCCTAAAGACTCTTTCTCAGTCCTAATGCTTATCTAATGCTGTTCTGGTCCAGGTCAGACGTATAAGAGGCTGGTTTGATTAGAGAATGAAACACTCAAATGAAACGGTTTGAAGCTGTGTTTGTATTAGATGGACAGAGGGGAGATTTTGAGAAGCTAGTTTTCAACGAGTATACACAGCCCATTTTCCGTACTGTATTTATAGATGATTTTTGGAAAATTACTATGGATTGGAAGGTTTGATATTAACTGGGTCTAAAATTAACATCAAATGTGACTTTAATGGGTAAATCTTGTCAGTCGGCCTGTATAATTTAAAAAAAATGTTTTTTTTGAATGTTCAATATGATATATGAACTATTCAGACCCTTTTGACATTTTCTTTATTGTTGTACAAAATAAACTGCTGAACTAAATTTGCTGATATAATCCTGTCATTAAGCCACAAACATGTTGGGAAATCTTGATTTTGTCATGTGTGGTTTGGAGCAGATGAAGTTTGCATCCAGGGTAATTTCCCATTATATAAGATGAGCTCTAGTTAGGGTCTGATAATCACTGATGCCCTATAGAGGATGCTTTATAAACCCAAGTGTTGACACCCTATCTAGTCCACTGTGGGATTGATGTGCTGGTCGGTCTAGTGCACTAACCTCTGATGCTCTTCCTTCCTAAC